TGCTCTGTGCTCACAATGGCAGCCACTGCTGGGAATCCTTTTTATTTTTAAGTTTTATTCTTTTTTTTTTTTTGGTTTTTGAGAGAGAGTCTTACTCTGTCCTCCAGGCTGGAGTGCAGTGGTGTAATCTCAGCTCACTGCAACCTCCGCCTCCCAGGTTCAAATGATTCCCCTGCCTCAGCCTCCCAAGTAGCTGGGATTACAGGCGCCCACCAACATGCCTGGTTAATTTTTGTATTTTTAGTAGAGATGGGGTTTCACCATGTTGGCTGGTCTCGGACCCCTGACCTCAGGTGATTCACCTGCCTCGGCCTCCCAAAGTGCTGGGATTACAGGCGTGAGTCATCATGCCTGGCCCTCGAATACTCTTTTCCTTTTCCTGGAAGGGAAGAGAGCAGGTGTCCCAGGCCCCCGGCCTCACTCTCATAAGCAGTAGGATATGGTAGTCACGAAGACAGACTATGGCACCAACATGCCTGGGCTCAAATCCTCCCAGTTTCACCACTTACTAGTGGTGTGATCTTGGACAAGTGACTTAACTTCTCTTGGCCTCAGTTTCCCCATTTGTAAAATGGGGATAATAACAATAATGCCTACCTCATAGGGTTGTTGTGAAGGTTAAACAAATATTTGTAAAGAACATAGAGCAGTGCCCAGAACATAGTATGTGCTGTATCAGTAATTTTTTCTTTTTTAGACCGAGTCTCATTCTGTTGCCCAGGCGGGAACACAGTGGCACGATCTCGGCTCACTGCAAGCTCCACCTCCTGGGTTCATGCCATTCTCCTGCCTCAGCCTCCCAAGTAGCTGGGACTACAGGCATCCGCCACCACGCCAGGCTAATCTTTTTTGTATTTTCAGTAGAGACGGGATTTCACGGTGTTAGCCAGTATGGTCTCAATCTCCTGACCTCGTCATCTGCCCGCCTAGGCCTCCCGAAGTGCTGGGATTACAGGCATGAGCCACCGTGCCTAGTCAGTATTTGTTTTTTAAAAAATACACACACACATACACATATAATTATTACGAAAATGTTTGAGAGGCGGGCGGAGTGGCTCATGCCTGTAATCCTACCACTTTGGGAGGCTGAGGTGGGTGGATTGCCTGAGGTCAGGAGTATGAGACCAGACTGATCAACATGGGGAAACCTCGTCTCTACTAAAAATACAAAATTAGCTGGCGTGGTGGCGCATGCCTGTAATCCCAGCTACTCGGGAGACTGAGAGACTGAGGCAGGAGAATCGCTCGAACCGGGGACGCGGAGGTTGCGGTGAGCCGAGATCGCACCATTGCATTCCAGCCTGGGCAACAAGAGCGAAACTGTCTCAAAAAGAAAAGAAAAGAAAATGTTTGAGAGTAATTTGAGCAGCATATATAAAACTCTTTTTTTTTTTTTTTTTTTTTTTTTTTTTTTTTTTTTTTTTGAGATAGAGCCTTGCTCTGTCACCCAGGCTGGAGTGCAGTGCCTTGATCACAGCTCGCTGCAGCCTTGACCTCCTGAGTTCAAGTGATTCTCCCACCTCAGCCTCCTGAGTAGCTGGGACTATAGGTGTGCGCTACCATGCCTGGCTAATTAATTTTTTTTTCTTTTTTTGGGTAGAGACAGGGTCTCCCTATGTTGCCCAGGCTGGTCCTGAACTCCTGGGCTCAAGCGATCCTCTCACCTTGGCCTCCCAAAGTGTTGTGATTTCAGGTGTGAGCCACCACACCCGGACCAAAATATTGAACACGCAGCACCGATTCAGCAGCCCCATGTGTGGGATCTGACAGTCGCACTCATAGAAATTTGGCGGTCGCGGGCTATGGAGGGTAGCTCCTCAGATAGCGGAGCGCCGCCCGAGGGGCTGGCGGAAGAGGCCGAGCCTCAGGGCGCCGCCTGGAGCGGGGACAGTGGCACTGTGTCCCAGAGCCGCAGCAGCGCCTCGGGGCCGTGGGGGGACGAGGGCGCGGAGGACGGTGCGCCGGGCCGCGACCTGCCGCTGCTACGCCGCGCCGCCGCCTGCCTGCTGTCCCGGGCCGGGGCGCGGCCCGAGGTCGAATCCCTGGACGCGAGCCTGGAGGACCTGCTCACCAGACTGGACGAGTTCGTGGACATGCCGGACATGCTTCGCGGCGACTCGTCCCAAGTCGTCAGCCAGGGCGTGCCGCGCATCCACGCGAAGGCCGCCGAGATGCGGCACATCTGCAGCAGGATCGACCGGCTGGAGGCCTTTGTGAGGATGGCGGGCGGCCGCGTGGCCAGGATGGAGGAGCAGGTCACCAAGGCCCAGGCCGAGCTGGGCGCCTTCCCCAGGGCGTTCAAGAAGCTCCTGCACATGATGAACGTGCCCGCGCTCTTTAGCAAGTCTGCTCCCTGGAGGCCACAGCAAGCCGGCTACGAAGCCCCCCGTTCTGTTTCGGACCGAACACTACTTGTTGTAGTGAAAGGCCTCAGCTCTGACGGCCTGACCACTGCGGCAAGAGGACGCCAGCTGAAGTGCTTACCTCCAGTACGAAGTGAAGTGCAAATCCTGCTCATGGACATACATGATGTTGGAGTGTGGGATTTCAAGGTTTACGTTCTGCACACTCTCCGTAGTATATTCATGATTCAGTGTAGAATATATAGACTTTATGCCTTCCAATTTTAAAAAAAGAGACGGGGTCTTGCTTTGTTGCCCACACTGGCTGGAAACTCCTGGACTCAAGTGATCCTTCCACCTCAGCCTCCCCAGTAGCTGGGACTCCAGGGTCGCCACCGCGCCCAGCCTGTGTCTTCCAGCTCTAATCAGAAAGCTGCTTGGCGAGGACATGGCCAATCAAACTAAATGAACTTTGCACGGTGGCAAAACTGTTATTTTTATGGATTTTACTACACGGCGTTACCTTTTCAAGATTTATATGTTTGTATAATTATAAGACAATTGAGCCATTAAAGCCTTGTTATTATTCAAAAAAGAAAAGAAATTCATAATGATAAATATTCAAGAATGTGAATTGCCATATTAATTGTAAGGACAAAAATTGGAGACAACACAGAGGTTCATCAAAGGGGAGTGGCTAAATCAGCTGTGGTCCATCCACAGGGTGAATACTACCCCGGAGAAGAAAGAATGGGTTTTGTGTTTTAGGTTGAATCATCTGCAATTGCTAACATTTGACCATTTTTGACTTACAAAAAAGCAAGATGGCAATTTTAGATGAGTTTAATACTAGGCACTTGTATTAGAGTAGATTGAGCTCTGGTAAGAAACAGACCCAGGCCGGACATGGTGGCTCACGTCTGTAATCCCAGCCCTGTAGGAGGCCGAGGTGGGCCCATCATTTGAAGTCAGAAGTTCAAGACTAGCCTGGCCAACATGGTGAAACCCCATCTCTACCTAAAATACAAACATTAGCCAGGTGTGGTGGCAGGCACCTGTAATTCCAGCTACTCAGGAGGCTGAGGCAGGAGAATCACTTGAACCCGGGAGGTGGAGGTTGCAGTGAGCTGAGATCATGCCACTGCATTTCAGTCTGGGCAGCACAGTGAGACTCCATCTGAAAACAAAAACAAAAACAAATAGACCCAAATATGTACTGGTCTTGCATGAGGTCATTCAGGGACCCATGCTGAGGAAGCATCTGCATCTTCAACACAGGTTTTCCCAAGCCTGTGGTGTTTAACTCCATCCCAGCTGACATAACGTCTGAGCATGTGGCACAGTCCTTGGCCTGTAGTGAGTGCTCAATAAATATGAATGCGGCAGCAGAGATACTCATCATGTCTCCTTCCTTTGCAACAGCATCCCAACTTAGCACCTGCTTAAGGGGAGACTGGGTGGTACATTTGGATTAATCTAAGTCATTTGCAGCGGTCCTGTTCTCTTGCCAGTGATTGATTTCCACACGGAAACTGCCAGCGCCCCACGGTGTCCGTCCAGTCTTACATGCTGACACACGGTCCCAGCTTTCGCCTCTCTTTGCCTGGTAGCTTTCTCTGGCAACCGGAACTAGTTCTCTGACTGTGTGTCCTGTAGGCTGGAAGTGCCAGAGACTTAAGGCCCACACTCCAGTGTGGCTTTCAACCAAAGATGGACAACACTGACTGCCTGATCCCTCAGGCGTGGTAACCCTGACAGGAGTGTTCCATGCTGTCACCCAGAGCTCCCTAGTGGGATAATGCTCCAGTTGCCCACAGGGGCAACTTACCTGGTAATTGGCTATTTCCTCACCCAAATCTCATCTGAATTTTAATTCCCATAATCCCCGTGTGTCAAGTGGGGGACTAGCTGGAGGTAATTGGACCATGAGGGTGGTTTCCCCCATGCTGTTCTTGTGATAGTGAGTCTCATGGGAGCTGATGGTTTTAGAAGCACCTGGCATCTCCCTTGCTTTCACTCACTCCATCCTGCCACCCTGTGAAGAAGGGTCCTGGTTCTCCTTCGCCTTCCACCGTGATTGTAAGTTTCCTGAGGCCTCCCTAGCAACGTGGAACTGTGAGTCAATTCAACCTCTTTCCTTTGTAAATTGCCCAGTCTCGGGCAGTTCTTTATAGTAGCATGAGATCAGACCAATACACTGGCAGATTGTATTTCTCTGTATGCTCTTGTCGCAGTGGGCCACTGACCTTCCTCCGCCCTTGAACCTGGGCAGACCTTCATACCTGATGGCCGAAGTGATACTGCAAAATTTCTGAGGCTGCTCATAACAGGACACATGGCTTCCACCTGGCATTCTCTCGCCCCTTCTCTCTTTCTCTCTCTCTCGATGCTTGTCCGTGGAACCCAGCCATCATATTGAGGAGCCCATGCCACCAGGAGAGGCCACGCGTGAGGGATTTTGGCTGACAGCTCCACCTAGGCCCCTAATGAATGGCCGGCATGGGTGAGTGGCAGCCTTCAGATGACGCCAGCCCCTAGCCTTTGAGTTTTGCAGCTGGAGCCCCAGACTTTGTGGCACGGAGTCAATTTACCCTTGCTGTCTGCAGTCCTGAGCCATAGAAATCATGAGAAGTAACAAAGAATTATTGTAGTTTTAAGCTACTAGATTTTGGGGTCATTTTGTTACACAGCAATAAATAACCGATACAACCATGTGCCTTTTTTTTTTTTTTTTTTTTTTTTTTTTTTTTTGAGACAAAGTCTCTCTCTGTCACCCAGGCTGGAGTGCAAGCACAATCTCAGCTCACTGCAACCTCTACTTCTAGGGTTCAAGTGATTCTCCTGTCTCAGACTCCCGAGTAGCTGAGACAACAGGTGCGCACAACCATGCCCAGCTAATTTTTTGTATTTTTAGTAAAGACAGGGTTTCGCTATGTTGGCCAGGCTAGTCTCAAACTTCTGACCTCAGGTGATCTGCCCGCCTTGGCCTCCAAAAGTGCTGGGATTACAGGCATAAGCCACCATGCCAGGCGTGCCATGCACCTTTTATTTGTTGCTTCTCCTTCCTTATTTCCCCATTCCCCTTCTTGTTTTTCGTAGGATCACCTCCCAAATCAGCCATCTACACTCCGGTTCTTATCTCAGTGTCTTTCTGGGGGAAACCAGTCAAGGCACACATTATTTGGAAAAGATACACATAGAAAAAGGACAAACAGACAATTACTGACTTCTTTGGGAGTGAGCTCAATAACCAGAAACTTTACTTTGTATTCGATACATGTCTGAATTATGTACATTTTCAACAATTCTTCATTATACATACACAGGGTCTGCTCTGTTTCCCAGGCTGGAGTGCAGTGGCACGATCATGGCTCACTGCAGCCTTAATCACCCAGGCTCAAGTGATCCTCCCACCCCAGCCTCCCAAGTAGCTGGGACTACAGACATGTGCCGCCATGCCCAGTTATTTTTTAAATTTTTATTTATTTATTTATTTTGAGACAGTGTCTCACTCTGTCACCCAGGCTGGAATGCAGTGGCATGATCTTGACTCACTGCAAGCTCTGCCTCCCGGGTTCATGCCATTCTCCTGCCTCAGCCTCCCAAGTAGCTGGGATTACAGGCACCCGACACCATATCCGGCTAATTTTTTCTATCTTTCAGTAGAGACAGGGTTTCACCGTGTTAGCCAGGATGGTCTTGATCTCCTGACCTTGTGATCTGCCCGCCTCGGCCTCCCAGAGTGCTGGGATTACAGGCGTGAGCCACTGCGCCCAGGCTATTCTTTTTATTTTTGTAGAAATATTTTTGTAGAAATATTTTGTAGAAATACTTTGTAGAAATATTTTTGCTGGGTTGTCCAGGCTGGTCTCAAACTCCTGGCCTCAAGTGATCCTCCCATCGTGGCCTCCCAAAGTGCTGGGATTATAGGTATGAGCCACTACACCCAGCCTATCATTAAAAGTTTTATTTTAATTTTAATTTTTGTGAGTACATAGTAGTGTATATACTTTCATTTTTAAAAATACACAAAAGGCCGAGCGCAGTGGCTCACACCTGTAATCCCAGTACTTTGAGAGGCTGAGGCAGGCGGATCACCTGACGTCAGGAGTTTGAGACCAGTCTGACCAACATGGCGAAAAACCCTGTGTCAGCTAAAAATACAAAAATTAGCTGGGCATGGTGGCTCACACCGGTAATCCCAGTTACCCCGGGAGGCTAAGGCAAGAGAATCGCTTGAACCCTGGAGGCAGAGATTGCAGTGAACCGAGTTTGTGCCACTACATTCCAGCTTGAGTGACAGAGGGAGACTGTCTAAAAATAAATAAATAAATAAATAAAATAAAAATATGAAAAATTTCCATGAAACCCCGAGTCATAAATTTTATGGTACACATAAAATGTGCCATTGTCAGCATTCTAAGTGTGCAGTTAAGTGGCTTTAGGGACATTCACATTGCTGTGTAGCCATCATCAACGTCCATCTCCAGGACTTTTTCACCAAAAAAAAAGGCTGAAACTCCGTACCTAAGAAATGCTCACTCCTGCGGAGCTTGCAGTGAGCTGAGATCCGGCCACTGCACTCCAGCCTGGGCGACAGAGAGAGACTCCGTTTCAAAAAAAAGAAAAAGAAAAAAAGAAATGCTCACTCCCCAATCCCTCCTCCCACAGCCCCTGGCGGCCTCCATTCTACTTTCTGCCTCTATGAATTTGACATGAATTTGACTGATCTAGGGACCTCATGTAAGTGGAATCAAAACGACAGTATTTGTCCTTTTGTTTTACCATTTGGCTTATTTCTTGCAGTACAGTGGTTTCTTAGAGTGGTTTCCCAGGCTCACTCTTGTGGTCACTACCACCGATGGCCATGCTCCCTGGCACAAAACCTGCACCTGCCCTGTGCAGGTGTGGCTGGTAGACGTGCCTGGGGAGCAGGGTGGGCAACCGTGGCAGGACCAGACACTTCGTTCCGGACCAGCTCTCTGCACGGCCCCTTCCCCAGTCCTGAGCAGAATTGCCGGGCGAGGGTTAATCAACATTCAGTCATGTTTCCAAGTTTAAATGGAGCATTTGTTTAATTATGTGTAAGTAGCAATACATTGTGGCCATTATCTAAATCACTATTTTATTTCCTGGATGTGGTTTCATAATGCAGGGTTTCTGCTGCAGCCTAGCATCATTAACAGAGAAGAGTTAATGAATATAAAAGCGTAAAGGCTAATTACACTTTAATTTACAATCATGGTCTCATTTTGGGACCACATGAAATCTGTTTTGAAAACAATTAAAAAAAAAAAAACCCACTCTTGCCCTGGTAAGTGGAGGGACCCCGGCCAGGAGCTCAGCTCTGGCTGCCGTGTGGTGGCTGAGCAGCGTTGGCTGGCACCAGTCCCCGCCCTGGTGCCATTACTGGGAGGCTGACGAGGCCAAGTTCAGCGCCCTGTGACTCTGCCTTTTGTTTCCAGCAATTTTCCTCCCGCCTTCAATGACTGCTTGTGTGGCTGCCTTCGAGAATTGGGGGACCCCATCCACAGCCCCTGTGGTGTGCCCATGTTGCTTTCGTGCGGCCTCACCTAGAGGGAAGCAAGTTGAAATTACCTGGCTTTTTCAAAACCAGGTGGGGAGAAGGGAGTTGGGGTCAGGGACACTGACGGTTACAGGGTTTCTGCTGTGAGCCAGTACTATGCTGGATACTTGTACATATATTATTTATTCCTTGAAATTGCCTATCAATGGCAATTAGTCTCCCAGAGATTTGAATTAGTCCCTCTGAAATGTTTAATGGAACCACAGAATGATTAACTTTCTTAGGTATAATAATGGCATATGTAGAAGGCTGTCTATTTTTAGGAGATGAAAAGAAGTTTGGGGGTGAAAGGTCCTGATATCTGCCACTTACTTTCAAATGGGTCAGGGAAGGAAAAATAATAATTAATAATTATATAATAATTATTACATTAATATTATAACTAAAAATTATAATAACCAATATATTTTATATATTAATATATTGATTATTAAAATTAATAATATAATAATATAATTAATATTTATAATAATGACTATATTAATATAGAAAATATATTGGTTATTATAATTATGTTATTATAATAATGTAATTTTTAGATATATGGTGAGACAGAGACAAAGAGAAAGAGATAAATGGTAAAACAAAATAAGTGGGCAAACTGAATCCTATTGATTCTAGGTGGAGGGTATACAGGTGTTCATTGTACTTCCAACTTCTCTATGTTTTGAAAATTTTTATAATAAAAATTAGGAAGACAAACATTGTCCCCACAGGCCACCACAACTTGCTTTGCCTTCTTGTTAAATAAACCTCTTTTCTTCCAACTGAGAAAAGGTCCATTTGATCAAACCCAGTCTTTGTATGATTTTATGATTTTTTTTTTTTTTTTTGAGACAGAGTCTTGCTCTGTCACCCAGGCTGGAGTGCAGTGGTGTGATCTCAGCTCACTGAAACCTCTGCCTCCCTGGTTCAGGTGATTCTCCTGCCTCAGCCTCCCAAGTAGCTGGGACTACTACAGGCATGTACCACTGTGCCCAGCTAATTTTTGTATTTTAGTGGAGATGGGGTTTCACCATGTTGGCCAGGCTCGTCTTGAACTCCTGACCTCAAGTGATTCGCTTGCCTCAGCTTCCCAAAGTGCTGGGATGACAGGTGTGAGCCACCACGCCCGGCAAGAAACCTACAACTGTTTTGGTAGAAGAAAATAACTGTGATAGAACGACTGATAAAAGCGGGGTGAAAATTGCATAGGTAGCATGATCTTGACAATGTGAGAAAAATAGATATGCAATGACAAATCTGAAAAGCATCACACATTTTGTTACAATTCAAACAATCATGTGCATTTTAATACTTCCTGTATTTCTAGCCAGATTTGTGAGGGTCTGCCCAGCTCACAAATCCACGCATAGGCACCTAGGGCTTCCGCAGCCCTGTGGCTCCGCCCCCTGAAACACAGCTGACTGGATGCGCCCTGTGGCTCCGCCCCCTGAAACACAGCTGACTGGATGAGAATAAGCTCTGGTACCCAAACCGGACCAATCAGAATGCCCTCCCCGGGAGGCGGAAATCCCAGACTCAGTCTGCACATCTGGGAACCGTCTGGGCTGTCTCTGTCCCAGGATTGGGAAGCCGGGGTGCGGGCGAACACGGAGCAGACCCCCACACACGGAAGCAGGAGACAGCGGGGGACCCCTGGGGGACCAGCGAGCCTTTCCTGATGCTGGCTCCAGGCCACGGCCCGCCGTGGAATTTCAGGAGACCCCCCTGTATTGTTTAAGTTCCCTGTTAAAATCTTTTGTCTGGCTTGAGTAGGTTTCTGCCACAACCCAAACAGTCCTAACTAATAGAGTGAGTATGCCTTATTTTAATAGGACGAAGGTAAAGAATAGGAACCACGAGCGATTGCGCACTGGGCCGGACACCCGATGCCGTGCCGCACCCCCGCCTGGGGAAAGGCCCTCAGATCATGTCCGGCTCTCCCGCTTTGCCCTGTGTGGCGAGGCCCGCCCAGCAGCTGAGTTTCCCAGGCCTCCGAGAAAGGCCAGTGGGAGACACTGGGGGTCCCCAGGAGGGTGGGAGGATGGGGTAAGCCAAGCTATTTCTCCCACTCTGGCTGCGCCATGTGCAGGCGGACAGTGGCTGCATCTCCTCTGCAGCTCGGGCTCCCCTCCGGTGGGTCCTCCCAGCCTCCAGCGTGTTCCAGGTAGTCCTGTAAACCCCATCTCTTCCTTTGGTCTCCTCGTGCCCGGGGGAGAGTGACTTCCTGCTATGGTAATTCCTGGGCCGCTACCCATCCTCTCTGGCTTCTGGGCTCTTCTGGTTGTGTGTATCGCATTTCCCCTGTTTGCATACCGTCTTCGCAGTTGGACGCCGCCTGATACATATATATTAACTCATTTCATCCTTGAAACACCCCTCTGAGGATGGTATTAGGATCCTCACTTTGCACAGGAGGACACCAGTGCTCAGAGAAACGAAATAATGTGCCCCAAAGTCACTCAGTCTGTCCCAAAGCTCTGAATCCAAGCTTTTATCACTACATTTCACTCTACTGCTCTTTATTTATTTATTTATTTATTTATTTTTAAGAGACAGAGTCTTGCTCTTTTGCCCAGACTGGAGTTCAGGGGTGTGATCATAGCTCACTGCAGCTTTTTTTTAATTTTTTTTAATTTTTTTTTATTTTATCTTTTTTTTTTGAGACAGAGTCTCGCTGTGTCGCCCAGGCTGGAGGGCAGTGGCGCGATCTCGGCTCACTGCAAGCTCCGCCTCCGGGTTCCCGCCATTCTCCTGCCTCAGCCTCCCGAGTAGCTGGGACTACAGGCGCCGCCACCACGCCCGGCTATTTTTTTGTATTTTTAGTAGAGACGGGGTTTCACCGTGGTCTCGATCTCCTGACCTTGTGATCCGCCTGCCTCGGCCTCCCAAAGTGCTGGGATTACAGGCGTGAGCCACCGCGCCCGGCCAGCTCACTGCAGCTTTGAACTCCTGGACTCAAGTGATCTTCCCACTTCAGCCTCCTGAGTAGTTGGGATTGCAGGCAGTCGCCACTACTCCAGCTAATTTGTGAAATTATTTGTAGAGACGGTCTTGCTATGTTGTTCAGGCTCAAACTCCTGGCCTCAAGCGATCCCCTTGCCTTAGCCTCCCCAGGTGGTTGGATTACAGGCATGAGCCATTGGGGTCACCCTGGACTGCTTTTTAGAATCACCTGTAGAGTTAGAAGAAAAAATTATTTGAAAAACTTGCCAAGACATCCCGACCTCTAGGCTCTTTCTGCCCTCCCAAGCCGGGCCGATGCAGGACTGATGAGAAGGCTCTTGGGGCCAGGGGTACCGAAGGCCTGGGAAGGGTCCTCAGCAAGCCCAACCTCTCCCAGGCCCAGGCCAGTGAAGGGACAGGCCTTCGAGTCCCATGCTTGTCCTTACTAGCAGTGAGACCTTGGGCATGTGGTCTGCCCTCTCTGAGCCCCTCTCTCTCCTCTCTCACTTGAGAGAAGTCACATCTGGATGGTGAGCTTCCCTCGGGTCTCCCAGCTCCCAGAGGAGCCTGAAACAGAACAGGCATTGGGCAGTGATGCTTGAGTGACCTCAGGTCTTTTGCCAGAGTCCCCTGGCTCTGGGGCCACAGCCGCCTGTGCACGAGTGGAGGCAGGGAGGGAGGTGGATACTGCATGAGATTTAGTCACTGTGGGCCTTGCAAGGTCCATGGGCAGCTTTACCTGCTCTACTTATTTACTCAAGAGGTATTTTTTTTTTTCTTCGAAAAGAAAAAGAAGATAAGGTTCATCTATCATAGCCATGAAATGTTGGGCTTGAAGGGCTGGTCGTATTTTTTTCTGACATCATGAAATAAAATGCATAACTACTAAAGTAAAAATGCTCATGGGAGACCCTGGGACACCACCCCTCCCACCCAGTCATTAGCAGTATGGGCTTGGGAGCCATCTGGCTCCAAGTTGTGACTCCCTTTGTTAGCTGGGCAACACTGGGCAGGCGGCTTCCCCCCTCCAAGCCTCAGTTTTCTTATCTGTAGAATGGGATCCTTGGCTGGGCTCAGTGACTCACGCCTGTAATCCCAGCATTTTGGGAGAAGGAGGCAGGAGGATCGCTTGAGGCCAGGAATTGGAGACCAACCTGGGCAACATAGTGAGACACCCCCCATCTCTACTAAATAAATAAATAAATAAATAAATAAATAAATAATAAAATGGCAGGGAGATCATCATGACGCCTGTCTCGGGTTATTGCCAGGGTTCCTTCAGCTAATTCAGAGGTCCAGATAATGGGGCAAGAGGCCCTCGTGCCTGCAGTTACTGATATGTTTTTGTTATTTTTTCATTACCATCACCAGCAGCATCAGCGGGCCCTGCGGGTGCTTAGGAGGGCCAGAGTCCAGGGGTTCCCAGGTGGGGGGTCAGGCTGGGCACTGGCTGAGGAGGGGCTCCATTCCCTACTGTGGCTGCCACCGCCACTATCGCTGAGGGCTGGAACTTCGCCCCACAGCCCCGAAGGAGATCCAGATTTACAAGCCTGCAGGCGGAGCGTTCACTGGGGCTGCTGACTCGGGCACTTTGCAACACTGGCTTCACTGCCACCAGCGGTTTTGGGGGTTGGGAGGTTCCTGACTTTCTGCTGACCTTCCTGTACCCCAGCCCCTCAGCTCCTCTGCTCAAGCCTGACTGCCCCCTCCCCCACTCCATGTGCCTCCAAAGAAGATTTCCCCTTTTGGGCACCTGGGGAGTCGGCTGGAGTCTGCGTTCTGGCATCAGAGGCAGCTGGGCGCAGATCCTGTCCCACCATGCCGGAGGACACTGTGCACATTGCTTAACTTCTCTGAGCCTCAGTCGTCAGGGGGAAGAAGGCGACGATGATGGTGACCATACCCACCTTGTGGTCTCAGCTGTGCACCAAGTCCTTTCTCATCCCTTTGATGGGTGCTGGTGGGTGGGGATGGCATATGGCCCTGGGGATGCAGGCAGGAGCCCTCATGGGCCTGCCAGTCTAGGGAGGGTGGGGCTGGTACAATAACCACCACCTGCTGAGCCCTCACCTTGGGCAAGGTGTGGTGCTGAGGGCCGGCTGGCGGTGGCTGCACCTCACCAGGCACCTCTGGGGTGGGCACCGTGATGGCCCCAAGTCAAAGCTTACACGCTGGGAAGGGCTAAGCAGGGATTTTTTTTTTTTTTAGACAAAGTCTTGCTCTGTTACCCAGGCTGGAGTGCAGTGCTGTGACCTTGACTCACTGCAATCTCCGCCTCCCGGGTTCAAGTGATTCTCATGCCTCAGCCTCCTGGGAGTAGCTGGGATTATAAGTGACTGCCACCACGTCCAGTTCATTTTTGTGTTTTTAGTACAGACGTGGTTTTGCCATGTTGGCCAGGCTGGTCTCAAACTCCTGACCTCAAGTGTTCCGCCCGCCTCAGCCTCCCAAAGTGCTGGGATTACAGGCATGAGCCACCACTCCCAGTCCCCCAGCAGGGATCTGAACTTGCTGGACTTGGCTGACTCAGGGCATGGGTACCTTCTCGCGGAGGTGCCACATGGGTACCTAGTCTCTGTGACATCTCTGCCTGCCACAGTTTCTTCCACTGCACCCTGTTGCAGGGTTGGGTGAGGATTCCTGGGGGTGAAGTGTGCCACCAGCCCAGAGTCAGTGTCAGTCGCCCCTCGAGGGTTGTGGTCCAAACTGGAGGAGCCCTCTTGATACGTTTGAAAGTTCAGAATCTCCAGTTTGAGGATGGGACACATGTGATGTTGTCCCGGGGGGCAGTGCGCTCCCACCGTCTGCTGGCAGGAGGCGCTCTCATCGTGCCTCAGTTCCTCTCAAGGCTGATGAGATGAGCAGCTCCTTGCGCCTATTGGCTCAAGTACCCTAGAGCTGCAATGCACAGTTATGCAAGTTGTCTCGCTCTGTAGCCCAGGCTGGAGTGCGGTGGCCGGATCTCAGCTCTCTGCAAGCTCCGCCTCCTGGGTTCACGTCATTCTCCTGCCTCAGCCTCCCTACTAGCTGGGACTACAGGGACCCGCCACCATGCCCAGCTAATATTTTGTATTTTTAGTAGAGATGGGGTTTCACCATGTTAACCAGGATGGTCTCGATCTCCTGACCTCGTGATCTACCTGCCTCGGCCTCCCAAAGTGCTGGGATTACAGGCTTGAGCCACTGCTCCCGGCCAACAATTTTCTTAAAGATGGAAATAAAGTGGAAGTAAGGGTGCCTTTTCATAATTCTCACAGAGATGCCACATGGATCAGAATCGTTTCTACTTTGGGAGAATGACACCTCAAATCTGGGGAACTCCCACTCACCTTTCTAAGTCGTGCTCCCATGACCCCTGCCTGGGAAGCCTCTAGCCTCTGTGTTAGAGTCACTGCTCACTTCCCTACCCAGGGTCCCTCAGCCCGTTCAAACCGCACGCCAGGCTGGGAGCTGCTGGGGGCAGTGATGGCTGCATCGAATTGGTAGGCCACCCACCCCTGGCCTCAGCCTTTGCCCAAGGAGAGAGTTCATGGGCATCCCACGAGGTCCAGCCTTGGTGCCAACGAGGAGACCCTATGAGACTTCCTAGGTAGCTGGAGCTGGGAGGGCTGGCCAAGCTCCACCTCCTCCCCACCATTTTATTTTATTATTTATTTAATTTTGAGACAGAATCTTGCTCTGTTGTCCAGGTTAGAGTGCAGAGGTGTGATCTCAGCTCGCTGCAACCTCCACCTCCTGGGTTCAAGTGATTCTCATGCCTCAGCCTCCCAAGTAGCTGGGATTTTACAGGTGCATGCCACAACGCCCAGCTAATTTTTTTTTTTTTTTTTTTGAGGTGGAGTCTCGCTCTTGTTGCTCAGGCTGGAGTGCAATGGCGTGATCTTGGCTCACTGCAACCTCTGCCTCCCAGATTCCCTGCCCCCGCCTGCCAAGTAGCTGGGATTACAGGTGTGTGCTACCACACCCAGCTAAGTTTTGTATTTTTAGTAGAGACAAGGTTTTACCATGTTGGTCAGGCTGGTCTCGAACTCCTGACCTCAGGTGATTCTCCCGTCTCTGCCTCCCAAAGTGCTGGGATTACAGGTGTGAGCACCACACCCGGACAACACCTGGCTAGTTTTTATACTTTTAGTAGCGATGGGGTTTTGCCATGTGGCCCAGGCTGGTCTTAAACTCCTGGACTCAAGTGATCCACCTGCCTCGGCCTCCCCAAGTCCTAGGATTACAAATGTGAGTGACCACGCCTGGCCCATCTACCCCCATTTTACAGTAAGAACACCAAGGCTCAGAGCAGCCAAGGCCTTGCTCAGGGCCGCACAGAGAGTTAGGCATCTGGGCCTTCAGACCCCCCACTGAGGCTGGGCACACCTGCGTCCCACCGCATGGTGAGAAGTCAGTCAAGGTTGGTGAAGAAGGTGGCACTGGGGACAAAGAGGTGGAGTTATCCAGGCCACCACTCCCCTATCCATGGCCTGGAAGTCATTTCCGTCACAGATAGGGTGCCACTCCTTAGAGACTGATGATTTGGTGGAGCAGAAGGGGTCCAGGCTTAGGGTCTGGGCACCAGTGTGAAGATCTTGGGGTCTGCAGTTGCCAGGACCCCAAGTGACCCCCGCCCCTGCCTGCCTGGTTCCCTGTCGCCAGTCCCCTGCCATCGGGTCCACTTCATCCTTCTGAGATTTATTCTCGGGCCACAGAGCCTGGAAGTAATTTGCTGACAGAGCCCCATCCCGGCAGGTGCTTTAATTGGTTTTGTGGGAGCAAATTTAGAGGGAAACAGAAATCATGGTGCTGCTGCCCGTCTTTTCTCTTTAATGGGGGCTTCAGAGTGTTGGGGGTGGGGAGGAAAAGGCAGCTCCTCAGTGGAAAGCAGAGACCCTGGTTTTTCTCTGGGGGTGCAGGTGCTGGGACCTGGGTGTCCTGGGCCAGGGGCAATGGAACCAGGCCACCTGCTCTGGCCCTCGCTCAGCCTCAGCCTCAGGGCAGGGCGGCTTCTCATCCTCACAGTGCTGAGGGCAAGAGGAGGCCTGGGGACGAAGGGGCCAGAGCAGGGCCAGGGCAGGCAGGGTTCCAGGTCCCAGACTCCCTCCTTCTGAAGAAAGTCCTCACTCTTGCCGGGTGCGTACCTTCTAAAACACAAATCAGGTGGGTCATTCCTTAGCTCCAACCCCTTCCGTGGCTCTCCATTGTCCTCAGAATGAAGCCAGCTTCCTTAGCTTGGCACTCAGGGTCCCTCGAGGCCCGACTGACCTCAGGTGACCTCTCCAGCTGCATCGTCCTTTGCGCCTATCCTCACCCACCCCCTCCCAATGGTCTTTAGTCTTCCCTGGTGGGCTCCTGTGTGTCCCACCCTATGCTAACCCCACAATTGTCCATGATCAAGGAGAGCACTGTTGCCTCATTTTACAGATGAGGAAAAGAAGGCTCAGAAAGGTTAAGACACCTCCTGAAGGTCACACAGCAGGGCAGGGACTTGAACCCAGGCCTGGCTGGCATACAAGTCCACACTTAACTAGTAAGTTATAGGTGGGACTAGCCGAGCTCCCTCTAAGCCCCATGCTTTCCCTTGAAATGCCCCTCCTGCATTTTTCTGCTGGCAAACTCCTACTCATCCTTCAAAGCCCGCTTGATATCACTTCCTTGAGAATCCTTGTCTGACTGACTACTCCCACCTCTAATCTTTCCTCTGGGCTTCCCAAGGCCCAGCCAAGACTTTCAGCTCAGCTCTTATCTCTGGGTTTATCACTTCCTGTGTCAGTGTCTGTCTCTTCCACTTCCTGCCTCACCCCGGACTGGGAAATCTAGCGGATAATTGTTACTCATCCTACAGGGTAAGAGTTGCAGCCCTGGAAACTCTGATAGGTCCAAGATCCTGGGACCTGGGCTCTCATCTTACCTGTTGTATTGAGCAGCCTAGGCCATAGCTGCTCTATGCAACCCTGAGCGAGGCCCTTTGCCTTGGCGGACTGAGTCTGCCCATCTGTAAAATGGGATGGTCAGCCTAGAGGCATCTGACACTTGGGAACTCTGAGGGATGTGGGCTGGAACCTCACACCATGTGGCCCATGCAAGTGTGACTCATATGACGTATGTGTGAGTGGGTAGTCACACCCCATGCCAGGGTGGGTCATGTCACGAGGTCATTGCTGATGCCTGGCCCAACCTGGGATCCAGGTGCTGGCAATGGACTGGGCTAGGAGGCCTGGGCAGAGCTAGGAAGTAATTACACTTGAGTCAGGGCTGGAATCTCAGCTCCGCCACCTACCTGCTTCGTGTGAGCTCGGACAGGCCTGACCTCGCAGAGCCTCAGCTTCATCTGTAGAACCACGGGAACAATAACATTATTGTTATCGTTATTGTCATATGCCACAGAAGGACATTTCTGTCACCAAGGGCCTGCATGTACGACAGTGGTCCCATAAGATCATAACACCGTATTTCTCCCGTACCGGTTCTATGAGTAGATACACAAATACTTCCCACCGTGCCACAGTTGCCTACAGCATTCAGTCCAATGATAGGCGGCACTGGAGTGTAGCCCAGGGGCAAGAGCCTGGAGTGTAGGGTCTGCATCATCTCGGCTGGCGGCTGGCGTAAGTCCACTCTATACTATTCGCAACCGATGCATTTCTCAGAATGCAGCCCTGTTGTTAAGGACACCGGACTGTCCTGCCACCCCAACAAGGCTGATTTGCTGAGGGTCACAGGAGAGACTCTCAGGGCTGGCACCGAGCGTAAGCTCCAGGGCCCTCACTGTTGTCATCTGCACAAGCCTTAAGTGCCACATCCCGGCTGGGCCCGGTAGGTGGTGGTGGGCGGTGACTGAAGGATCCAGTCGAGACCAGATGGACAACCAGGTGAATTCGCAGAGCTCAGGCCAGGACAGTGGGTCGGTGAGGGCCTTGGTTTCTGGGGTTTACGGTGGAGTTGGAGGCTGGGTCTCCACGGGCCTTTTTCCCGAGTGTGATTTTTCAAAGAATCCAGGACAGAGTTAAACAGGCAGGTGCAGTCCCTGAGGACAGATGGGCAGGATGGGGGTGAGGGGCTCAGAGGAGAGCTGGGGGCTGGGTGGAGGGAGAGGGGCAGAGCTCTCGGGATGAGTGGGTGGTGCTGGGAGATGAGCAGGGTCAGAGATCTGGAGACGGGCGGAAAGAGGTTGCAGGCCCGGTTCAGCTGCCCCAATTCCACATAAAACCAGTCAGCGCCCGGTCCTCGGCCTCAGTTTGCCTGTCTGTAAACGTGGAAACGGTTCCTCTCTATGGCAGCGTGGGGACCGGCCTCAGCTCCCCGGGCTCCGGCTATGCCGCCTGGACCCGGGCAGCTTAAACACTCCTTCCCCTTCCACGAGGACCGAGTTCGAGGCCTGAGCCGGGCCGGGCTGTCTGCTGTAGGGCGGTGACTTGGGGTACGAGCTCCCGGAGAAGGGAGAGACGAACCGGGAGCCAGAGGGAGCCGGGTACACAGCGGGGCTCACGGGGCGTCCCGGGGCCGGGAATCCAGCTACGGAATCCGGTCCGTAGGTGGCGCCGCGAGGCTGCAGTTGGGCCTCTGTCGCCCAGACCGAGGGTGGTGCGGAGCCGGGACCCGCAGGGCTTCTGGGTCCCGCGTGGCAGTCCCCACCGCCGTCGGTCCGCGGAGATCCCGTGTGTGTTTAGGGCACCCAGGTTCGCACCCCGATGGGCCAAGGCCCAGGGCGACGCGCGGGCACCGGACGGGGTGCGAACCTGGGGCGGCCGGGTCCCCTCCCCTAACCCTTCCCCCCGATCCCCGCAGCTGCCACCGCTGGGCCTCGGCTGCAAAGGCTCCAGAAACGGGACCCCATACCCTCGGGCCTTCCCAGCCGCGCGGGCGTGCGTGGGAG